TATTTAGCAGATTTGAAGGATAGTTCTGAGGTGCTTCCTTCGGTTTTTAAAAAACATTCTACGAACTGAGTTAATCTTCAATTCTTCGTTGAAATTTAGCGAAAGTCGTTGTTTTGCTTCGTGCATTTAAACTAAACTTTGAAATGTGATTGTATTCCTGGAATACAATAAGGAATACACCGTTGAAACAAATTATTGTATAATTTATTATTATAAGACAAATTATTACAATACCATTGGTGCAAACTTCATGATTAATGGGAAATGTTTACATCAGTGAACGTATTGCATGTTCACGTGGTAGACTTTAACGCTCTTTCTACAATTTAATGATAAATGTAATGCTGTAGCACCATCTGTTGGAAATGTTAATCTGTTGAACTCGTTTCTCAGCGATATAGATTTAGTTGGGATGTAATATTGTTCTTACACAATATTACTAGCTAGTTATATATATATATATATATATATATAAGGATTGGGGAGCAATTTATAAGCTTCATCGGGATTATCATGGAGGTATGGCTAGCCCTTAGCATTGTCCATTGTGTAGGCACCGAGACGTCTTTGTGTTGCGCAGTTTTTGTGTTAACTTATATCATCTTCATTGTTTTGATTTTACTTGTAAGATTTCGTCATCGTCATCCTGTTTGTTGGATATTGTGCCAATTTTTGTGAATACAGCTTTAATTTCGGTGATCCGACATCGGTACTGAAATTCCATAGCGTGTAAGCTTTGTATTTTTATCAAGTGATTTCATTACAGGTAAAGACAAATGGTGCAAGGAAGAGCTCAGGAACATTGGGGGAAAAAGTAAGCAATGCAGCCCTGAAGTGACATTTAATTTTGAAATGCACAGAATATCAATGAAATCTTCAACTTTTTCTTGTTTATTTGCGAAGATATTTGTCGAATAGTTGGTATAAATTACGTTTTAAGATGTACTGTTCAATTCTTCTATTTAGAAGTATTAGAAGAAATCTTTTTTCTTTCTGATGCTTAAGCATATCATGATATGGAAGCAAATGCGGTGCATAAGAAGGGATCAATTTATTTGGGATTCCGGAACGGTTATATATTTTCCTACCGAGTGATCAATGAGGAGGAAAAATTCTCGGAAATATTATTTTCACTCGATCTCGCACATCGTACTCCCCAAACAGGTAAGTCATGTTTCATTTTTTTATTGAATCAAAAGTAGAAAACTACCGATTACCAAACACTTCTACAGAAGTACTCGGTAAGGACGATGAATTGCACTTATTTTCGACCGATGGTAAAGAAGCAATTGTAGTAATTTGCGGTCCCATAACATATTATCGAATATACAACGTTAATCCACGGTTAGTGAACAGAAAGTATTGAGAAAGAGAAATCTTAGTGTTATTAAGTGACGTGGATTGTTGTTATCAGTCCTGAAAATGTCTGTATTTTTATTCGATGATGCGTGTGATACCACCGGAACTTATCATTGCCTTACTTAATTTTAGACAAGTTTTGCTATCAGATATTCCATATCCTCTTCTAATCCAAGTGATGATATTCCTGAGGAAAAGTGGAGGGGGAAGAATGAAGCTGGGATGCT